AATATAAAAAATTTCATTTAAAAAAACATTTTAAAAATTTTAAAAAATATAATACAAACCGTATTTCCAAACACGCTGAAATCAGGTTACTGTACAATAGCCATGCTGATTTTAATGCGTGGAGAGTGGTGGTGGTGGTTCTTGCTGCTGAGAACAGCGGCTAGCATGATAAGTGATTTTACCCTTCAATTTGGTTTTTTGTTTTATAATTTTTGCTTTGATAAATGTTTTCGGTTAACGAAGTCGATCCAATTTTTACAATGAGGTTTTATTTCAAGCCATTAGATTTTTGGACGCGGTGTTCTAAGATAAAGGTCGAGTATGGTGAATGCGAGTTCTTTCGAGTGTTTTGTGATTTATTTGCTTCTTGTTTTTTTAATCTTTCTTGATCTTTCAAGTTCCTATAACTTATATATATAATTAATGGTGGCTTCTCGGTTGATTATTAAGCTATCTGTTTCATTGGTAGTTTTTTTTTTTTTTTTTCATTTCTACTCTTCTTGTATTGTTTTCATTCAAAATTATTTTATTATTATTATTATTACCATGATAATGACGACGACAATCATTTTAATCCCACATGCAAGGCACTTAATTTAATAGAAATACATGTTATGCAGTCAAGGATACCAACATCTTTGTTTATGATCATATCACGTACTAGATTGAATTTAAATTATAAAAAAATGAAATTAATTGATAACATACCATGATTTTTATGTATAGATTAAATTTAATTACATTGTCTCAAATACTCGTGGAAATGAACTGAATTAACAATATTAATTATATTTTAATTGATTTAAAAATTATTTTTATTACAATTTTTTTTTTTATTATAAGAACCCTCATATCTATTCAAAATGACATAAAATATAGGCATTTTAAAAAACATATGAACAGACCCATCTCATATTAGTTGTTAATTAAATATTTGTTGATTTTGTTTTGAAAAACATATATTCATTGAAAAACTTATCCTTCAAAATCCTTTCATTGGAATGTTGAGAAAAAAAATAGAAATATTCCAGTAAGAATTCCAATATTCTACTCAAATCAATCTTAAATAAAATAAATAATAAACCAGCACAAATCACATTAAAAAATAAATAAATTAATGACTAATATAATTTTTACAATGTTAATGATTTAAAAATACATTATAATTTTTAGCTTCAATAATTCAAAAGATATCACCATACATATCATGCATGCATATCATGCAATGAGAAGTTTCAACTTCAAAATTGGCCTAGCAATACCAAAAAAAAAAGAAGGAAGGAAGGAAAGATTCGAGCAACAAAAAAAAAAAAAAGAAAAAGAAAAGAAAAGAAAAGAAAAGATTAATAACATACCCTACGAAGAACAAAAATATATTGGTGAGGGTTGCTGTCAAGTGGAGAAAAAAATATTATTGCGTAGCAAATGGTTTTGAAAGGAAAGAAAGAGGTGTACGAGAGAAACAACAAAACAAGTTCTGTATTAATATATGTGTATTTTTGAAATATTATTTTTCATGTTAATTTCAAAAGAGATTATTGTGGTAAATTAGAGGGTCTCATATCTGATTTATTCTTATATCTTTTTAATAAATTGATTTTTTTTTAAATTTAAATTAATATAATAAAAAAATTAAAATACAAGAATTTATTTAACTATTTGAATTAAATTTAATTCCAGGACTAGAAGTAAGTTGTAAAGAAATTCATTGCACAAGGGTAGAATCTAAAAACAAACACTGTACATGGGCAAAATCCATAGAAAAATAAAAGTAAAGGGGCAAAACAGAGAGAAGCAGGAGATTAATTTGCTCAAAAGTTCCATCAGTCTTTCCGCCGTGTTCCTGACACTTGTGGCTGTGTTTGTTTTTGTCTGGAAAAATATTTGTGTGTTTTATATAATTTTAGATTGTTTTAATATTAATATAAAAAATAATTTTTTAAAAAATAAATAGAAAACTTTAAAAAATAGCTTTTGCGAAATACCACCGTAGAGTAGGTAAAAATTTAGCATCTTGGTTTAGCCTTTTCTCTCTGTCTCCACCTTTCTTGATTGTTTCTGTCAGCAAATTTGATTTAGATGTAATACAAGCTATACATCCTAGTGGTACACTACACTCCCAGTGGCCAGCGAATGCGAATGTTTCCTTTCATTTCCTTTATTGCTTGTTGTTCGGGGGTTAAAAAAAACATGTAGTGGTAGTAGTAAAGGAAGAAGAAGTTGATTGCTAGTCTAGAATCCAAGAGACTCCGTTTGAACCAAACAGTAACGCTTCTCCCTCGGTACCATCCTTGTAAAAGATTACAAAAAGAGAGACTTTTCTTTTCTTCTCCTTTTCTTGGCTTTATTTTAGAGCACAGCATTGATAAAGGGCGGGGAGCGTCAAAGGCAGAGACACACGCACTCACATAAACAAATTCGGTGATCACAAGAGAGAGTAAAGAATGCAAACCACGAACAAGTGGAAGAAGAATGCCTGTGGAAATCATGAAGAAGAATCGAAGAAGAAGGAGAGACACATAGTCACATGGTCTCAACTGGTAATTGATCAATTTCTTTCGTTCTTTCTTGTTTGTTGGAATTGCAGTATCTGATTGATTTATTGGAGTACAGGAAGATGATATACTTCGGCAGCAGATCAGCCTAAATGGGACTGAAAAGTGAGAACAACCAAATTGATGTTTTTCTTTTAATTGCTCTTCAATGGTTTAAATAATTTGAGGGGTTTTGTGTGTTGCTGCAGTTGGGCTATCATTGCTTCTAAATTCAAGGATAAAACCACAAGACAATGCAGAAGAAGGTTAGTGGGTTATTGCAGCATATATATGTATGTACATCATCGCTCTGGTTGTCCTCTCTCCTCTACTTTGGGCCTTAATAAGCTATCAATTACTTCAGATGGTACACATATCTGAACTCCGATTTCAAGAAAGGCGGATGGTCACCAGAGGAGGACATGCTTTTGTGCGAGGTACTCTGATTTTGCTCTCTTTAGCATGCTATATAACCCTGTCTTGTCTTGTCTTTTTTCTTCAAATGTTTTTCACGGGAAAAAGGTTGCTTGAATTTGCAAAGTCAAAACTATGGTTTGATTTTTCTGCTCCATCATTGATTGTTCTTTTCCCTAGTTAAACATGTTAAGTGGTCCTGTTTGGTCATCACTGCATCTGATAACTTGAGTTGGTCTGCAGGCACAAAAAATATTTGGAAACAGATGGACAGAAATTGCGAAGGTTGTTTCAGGCAGGTATACAATGTTTTTGCATGCTCCTCTTCTCAAATTATTCACATATTTTTGCGTGGTTTAATGCTTATAGTATCCTTATTTAAAAAATATGCTACTTCTCCAGAACGGATAATGCTGTGAAGAACCGTTTCTCCACGTTGTGCAAGAAGAGAGCAAAATACGAGGCTTTAGCAAAGGAGAACAAAAACACGCATATCAACTTAAATAACAAAAGAATCATGTTACATAATGGGTTTAACGGAGACGGAGCACCAGAAAGTGATCCTCCAATTAAGAAGATAAGGTACAGTGCAGTTCTGGTATCAGTAGACAATAGTATCTGGAAAAGTAATCAGCATAGTAAACCTCATGTTTGTTCAAATGCAGGAAGTCCCACATCCCTGGTCTTGCAGGAAATTACAACTTTGGAGACAGATCACACCCACAATGTGGAAGTCAGCAACCTAGACCTCCATTTGCAGTGTTGGCCCAAAACTTTCACAATGTTAACGCGGCTTCCCAGCATCATGTCAGCGGTGTCAAGGAGGTCTCCATTGATGGTAAGACACCTAAAACAAAGACTTTTCAATTAGGTCATGGTTATTTTTTATTTCTTTGTTTTTTGGGTTAAATCTGGGTCCGAGAGGGTTACATCCTGCATAAACAGGGTAGAGATACCCTGCTTCATTCTGCTGAAGCAAGGAAAGAAGACCCAGGGCTTGAAACAAATATTGAATCCCAATATCAATATCTAAGCCTCCATTAGCATTCCAATCCACCTACCGTTTTCCTTCTTTATATGCATGACTAATCCTGATGCTCCAATCCCTTTGCTGAAGTCGAAAAAATTCCTGAACAAGAGGATCAGTCGCCAAACTGCTACCTTTTTAGTTTAATACATCGAATACTACCTCTGAATCAACTTCCACTTCCACATTCTTATACCACTTTGGCCATGTAAGGTCTAGCTCAAGCCCCATTCAAACTACCACAATTCAGCTTTCAAATCATTAGTTTTTTTTTTCCAGCTTTACAAAAACTGAGGAACGCTACAGGGGCTTTATACAACCAATAACATGCATAATCTATCATCTCTATCAATTTAGTTGGTGATGATTGTTGATCATTCTCTGTGATAAATCTTTAATGTTCAATAATCTCTTTCCTTGCTATTCATTTAGCAGTTCAAGACAGTATGATTCAGAGAACATTTCTCAAGAAGGATGATCCAAAGATAACTGCTCTAATGCAACAAGCAGAGCTTCTCAGCTCACTTTCACTGAAAGTTAGTGAAGAAAATACAGACCAGAGTCTGGAAAATGCTTGGAAGGTGAGCTTTTGCTGTCAACATCTAGATATCTGATGCACTTGACCACTTGTGTAGGTGCAGTTTATCAATTTGCCCTTCAGTGTTATAGAGATAAGCATAATTATAATGTCAAACTAATTTTTACCCAAGATCAATCAACTTCCATGTTTCACCACGTATATGCTGTAACGTGGAAAGTTGAACTGATTACGTTGATCTCACAGACTCAGGACAACAGTATCCCCAAGCATATTCCTCCTTGACTCTTATTATGCTCACAGATTTTGCTTCTGTCCTCATATGTTTATAAAACATGACATTCAGGTTCTCCAAGATTTCCTGAATCGGAGCAAAGAAAATGTACATGGACAAAAAATCTGTGACATTGATTTTAAACTTGATGATTTTAAAGACCTGATAGAGGATCTAAGGAGTAGTAATGATGGAAGTCGACCATCTTGGAGGTAATAGAAGCAGGGGTTTTAATATTTGGGATTAAGCATGATTACTCATCATACAGTGTCTAATTTATGGTTAAAATGCTGTAGGCAACCTGGTTTATATGAGGAGTCTCCAGCTAGTTCTGAATACAGTACAGGATCAACTCTATTGCCATACCCAGCCCCTGATAAAACAGAACAAACTCAAGCTGAGATTGGTGCACTGCATAAGGATATTGAAATTGAAATGCAAATGGTTCGTATTGACAAAGAAAATTTTGTGGGTGCATGTGGTAAAGAAATTATTTCCAGTGCAGATATAACCCAAGGTAATGAATTTTTCATGTCTGTTAGGGTTGTTCAAATGTACTTTTGTTTCTTGTCACGTGGAGATTAGGATGCCTTAAAACTACATCTGCTAATGAATTTAAATCTACTGCAGCGGAGATGTTTCCATCCTGTGATGAGCAAACAAAAAAAGACATAGTTGTTTCCGCCTCATCAAGTACAGAGTTCAGTTCCCCTCTTCAAGTAACCCCACTTTTCAGATCCTTAGCAGCAG